CCTTCAGGTAGCCCACCAAGCGTTTCATCTTAGCCATATGCTTGAAGGTGTGGGATTCGACATACTCGAAGCCAGCTCCTTGATCGTGAAGGCAATGTCCAACCTCTCTTGAGCAAGGTAGATGCCACTGCCCACCAAACTCCGAGAAACAAGGAAGCTTGCTCCTGATCAAGAAGGTCTGAGCCATCTGCATCTTTGATCTCAGGCTCAGCTGGCAACTTCTGGCTCTTCACCGGACCATATAAGCCTTCTCGTAGTTCTCGATCATGTCTTCACTGTATCTTCCAGGGCGAATGGACAAGCCATCTTCCTCCAATCTATAGGTCCTCTTCAGGAACTGAAACTCATCTCCAACGTCCTTCATGTGTGAAATGGAGATCTCGAACTTGCCCTTCAGCACCTGGATGAACTTCTCGACTTCAGAACTATCTCCATAGAACATCAAATCATCGACATGAATCAAGACGTAGACACTTCCTCCAACCTCACACAACTTTCCCAAACAAGGGTTGTCAGCATGAAACGTGAAGCCTTTCTCCACCAGGAAGTTCGTGAAGTAGGTGTACCAGGCCTTTGCGCCCAACCTTTGGCCTGGCAAATTCTTCAGAACTCTGTACCTCTTACCACCAGCAACGATCTGGAGATTCTCCTGAGGCACTTGCAAGAAGGCGTCTTTCACGTCCAGGGCTCCAAGTGTGACTTGCCTGGGGGAAAACTCTCGGCCTCGTTCACTGAGAAACAAAAGCGGAAGGAGTCTCAGGCTATGGGCACTCGAAGTCGGGGAATGCACATCATCCCGTTTGCTGTTTGCATATTCTCTTGCCACCAGCCGTGATCTCCTCAACCACTTCTTCTCCTGCTTGTTCTCCTTCAGCTTCTTCATCTTAATCCTCCAATCATAGACTCGAATCCAGTCACACCTCTCGTGGCCTGATACCTGTTCAAAGTCCAGCAAGCCCAAGACCACAAGCCATGGTTGGAGTTCAGCCTCACTCCAATTCGGCTCATCAAATCTTCCAACATTGTACACGCCAAACCTCTCACACGCTGCGCTGCATTCTCGGCCAAGCTATTGCCAGCACTGTCACGCACCCTTGTTGTGTAGATCCTCGTCCGAAGACCCAGGGCATGCCGGCTGTTCAGAAGAACTGGTAGCAAGGCTCAAACTGTGGGCTCATTGTCACCATAGAAACCAACTTCATCATGGCCCAAGTTCTGACAGAACGTCATGATCTCTCTGGCCATCAAAGTGATCTGACCTTTCGACTTCAGAGGAACTGCACCAAGGTATCCGGTCTGACTGCAAACCATCACCATCCATAGCGCAGGCTTCACTTCTTCCGCGCGGGGAATCGAAGACTCCTCCACCACTGCAGCCTCAGACAGAACTTCACCTCCGGCTGCCTCAGCACGAACTTCTCCTCCTGGATTGGACTCCACAGTGGTCCCAGCTTTCGTGTAGCAGAAATCCAGGCTGATGATTGGCGTGCTGCTGATCTTCGAATTGCCACTTCTCAAGTGCCTATCCTGCTTTGCTCTATGAGCTATGCAAAACTCACACCAAGGAGCATAGGGAGTGTGCACCAACCGATGTCGCTCCTGCTCATCCTCCTCAGGCACTGGAATCACTGGTTGCACTCGAGGCTCTCGGGCAACTTCACGTTGGGCATTGGCCACCACCTCTGCAGCGGCTTTCAACTCAACCTCCTTCAGCTTGCTCACAATTCTCTGGTAGCACTGACGACGTGAACCTGACTGGCCCACACCAAAGAAACTGCAAGCGGCACGTAGCTCTCTCAACTTCGTGGCCTCAGTCAAGACCACACCATTCACCACCACACTCTCAGGGAAGGGTTCACGTAGGACTATGCCAGCTTCTTGGACTGCAGGGTCCATCTCAACGTGTTTCACTTCTTGCTCAGGCACCTGGCGTTCTCCACCATCAGCTTCTCCACCACCATTCCCTGAACTGGAGCGCACTTCAAAGTCCTTCACCTCCAAGGGTCTGATGAGCTGATCTGACTCCACTTTGAAACCACAGTCTTCAGGGTTTCCTGCCTCCTTGGTCAAGAACGTGATGACCAAGCTGTTCTCATCGAGCTCCTCATCCTCGAAATCTTCCAAGCCCAGGATGGGCTCACACATCTCCACCAAATGCCATTTGCCTCTCACCTTCACCAATGTGGTTCTCCTCCAACTCTCACTCTGATCAATGCCCGTCACAAGCTGAGGGTCCTGGTAGTGCTTCGAAAGATGCACTCCAATCCAAGCTCCTCTCTCCATCTGCCAACCGGTTTGACGACTGGCCTTCTCCTCCAACTCATCTCCAAGCTTCGGACCTCGAGCGTGCGCACCGTCTGGGGAACCTCCTGAATGGCTCTAATCTTGCCCTTCACCACCAAGGACTTGTTCTGCAAAGCCACCGGGATTCGCACCTCTCCACCATTGCCAAATACCAAGCTGTGGCTTCCACCATCGATGCTCCAACCTGCCTCCCCATCAGCCTGCCATAAGAAATGATCGGCTGTGAAACTCCATCTGCGAAGTGAGCCTTCTCTCGAACCTCCACCAAACGGCCATTCTCTGTCTCAAAAACAAAGCAAACATCTTTCATGCCTCGAATTGAGATCTCTTCCCCCTGAGCATCTTGAAGACGAAGTGCCTTCTCGTGGGTTTCTCTGCCAGCCCTGAGAAACGAGCTTGGCAAAATAGTCGCATCCGACCCAGAGTCCAAAATGATCTTCTGGGTGCCTCCTTCAAACTCATAGTCACTGTATCCTCCATCTCCGCCATCTTCATCAATGGCATGAACTTTCATCACCTCATCTGGGGTGTCCTCTGCAGCCATGTTGAAGAACTGAATCATTCGAACTCGGCTGCACTCATCGAAGCTCTGATCCCTCAAGCCCAAAACGAGGGGCTCTTCCATTCCATGTGAAACCTGTGAAACTCTTTTGACAGTCAACTTAGGTGACTGCTGGGTCTGGCTTGCTGACGATCCGACAGTCGACGAAGCTTCTGCTGAAGGGGATGCTGATGCTGTAGTTGCTACATCAGACACTTGCCGAACTCGCCAACAATCTCGAGCCAAGTGACCTTCACGGCCACAATGGAAACATGCTTTGGACTTGCCCTTTCCCTTGTTCTTATCTTCCTGTCCACCACCTTTGCAACCCTTGCCCTTGCTCTGATAGGACTTGTCGAATTGTCCTCCTCCTTTGCCCTTCTGCTGGGCATCCTTTCCTTTGCCTTTGGACTTGCCATCCTTGGATTTGCCCTTCTTGCCACCTTTACCTTTTCCCTTCTCATAGATCCGGTCCACCTCCATGGGCACTGCTCCTCCTGTGTCAGAAGGTCCAAGGATCATTGCATCACTCCACTTCTGGCCTCCCGAGGATCGTTGTAGCTGCCACTCTCAGCAACTTGCAGCTGTAGCCAAGTCTTCAACTGGCCCGTGATGCACCGCATCAGCACTGAGAACTTAATCTCGTCATTGAGGGTCGCACCAGTCTTCTCGTACTCCCTGAAGGCCTCCTCCAAGCGCAACAACTGGCTAAGATTCGACTTCTTAGTGTCAAAGGCACTCCAACCTAGGATCATGTTGAGAAGTCCTAGGGAACGATTTCTCGAGACCCGCTCCAAGGACGTCAGCAGCTGTCTGTAGGCCTCAAGACCATTGCTGTCTTTCACCTGTCGAAGGAGCATCAAAGGGCGGTTCTTCAAGAGACTCGCCATGAGGCTGTAGAGGAACGCACTTCAAGCTTTCTCCTCAGCACCCATCAATGCCTCATCCATCTCCCTGCTTGGGTTCTGCCTGATGCCCTTGATGTCCTCGGCGTACTCGCTGTCAAGGGAGGCCAAGTACTAAGTCCCCAGCTGAAGTCTCTCCACTGGGCTAACTCCTCCTCTCTTGTTCTCGGCTCAAAGCTTCCAGGCTTTGGAAGCACCTTGTACCAACTTCTGTCTTCTTTTGGCCTCGATGAAAGATCTGCTAAGGCTTGGGCTGCGGCCTGAGCTGCACTCGTAGCTGCCTCTGTAGCCACCAGCATTCTTCTAGCTATCTCAGCTCCATCGAGAGGAACTTCTGGTGCCGCTGAACCTGCAGCACTTGTAGGGCTCGCCATCTCCTCAAACCTTCTTCCTTCTTCCTTCTACCTTCTTTCTCCTCACCAAACTCCTCAAAACGCCTACCAGCAGCGCAAGGCAACGGGTCTCCTCAAAGGGCTATGGCTTCACAGCAAAGGGCTTGTCCTAAGGGCCACCGCTTGTATGTGGATTGGTTTCTGTGTTGTGGGGATTTGGGTCCTGTCCCCTATGGAGCCTCACCTGTCACCAAAGGATCAGGATCACTGGCTCCGCTACCATGCGGACTTTTACTCAAGCAAAGCGGCCTGCGGATCACAGTTCTATCACTGCATGTTCATCTTTGCATCATGCATGAACTCTCATGTACACAGCTCTAGATTTGTTTCTTCGCAAATGTAGAGAATTCTATAGAGAAATGCAGAGAAGTGTAAAGAGAAGAAAAGAAAGAAACGAGAACATTGCATCATTGCATGGACGACCGACAGTCTGATAGACAAACAAACAGATAGAGTGATTGATTGAAGGAGTGATGGATGGATGCAGATATATTTTCTTTGATGTGATGATGTTAAAAAAGCTGGAGGGGGGTTGGGGGGGGAGGGCGCAGCGCCTCCCCCCATGTCGTCTGATGATGCTGAAAAAAGGAAGAAGCGAATAAATATACAGAGAGATGAACACATAGAAGTGAGCCTTGGAGTGAGCAGAAGAACACAGGTATGGATTAGACGGTACAGGTAGATAAATGGATCAAAGGAGTCAAAGATAGATACGGTGATGTTTGAAAAAGCTTCCCTCCTTCCTTCCTTCCTGTACAAGCCTTTAATTTTTTTTGATCAGAGACAGTTTTTTGATCCGGAAATATTTTTTGATCCGAGAATAATTTGTTTTTGACACCTATCCCTTGGGCTCCGAACAATCAGCGTCCCTTCGAACGCCAACTGTGTCATTGTAGCTTGCAAGCCTCAATGCCAGCCAGGAATGTTTCCACCAACTGCGCGCTTCGACCCCAAAAAGATCATTGGTCAAAGCCTAAAGCAACGATGTAAATCAATGAGAAGAGGGTCAGGCATTCCTCACTTTGTTTGAGACAAGAACATCTAAATCTTTCAATCCATCGATCTGCATGGTATGCTTTGGCCGAGCCTTTCAAGTTTCTCCCATCTTTCCTCCAAGTGGCTCTGCTTTCCGACCTTTGCAGGTGGCACAAAAAGTACAAGCCAAAAGAATGCTACACTTCCATGCTTTTCCTACCTGAAGAGATGTTTGTCCTAATGGGTGATAGCCGTGGATGTTGTTCTCCCAATGTACCCAAATCATGCTGGGTGCAGCCAAAGGGCTCCGAAAAGAACCATCAGCTGCTGCGCAATCACAGACAACACCTCAGCGTTCAGTGAAGAATTGCTGCACGGCATGCCTTCATTGATAATGATATCGACAATATTTCACGCTTAACAGCTTAGAAGAGCAGCCATGGGGAAGCCTTGGATTTGCAACGAGGCTCATCTGAGAAGACCGGGTCAAAATCACGCGCCGAGAATTCTGGGTCAAACTCATAGGGTCCAAATGTCAACGAAACCTCTTTACTTCAAAAAGGTTTGACTTCTTTCCTCTCTAGGGCTCGTGCCAAATCCAAAGCTGAGCGCATTGCTCAATGCTTTGGGATCCCTTTCAGGCGCCTGTGGGTAGTGCTTTGTGGTCTGCTTGTGGCGCCCTGTAGTTTGTCATGCCTTGCGGTTTTAGTTTGTCGAGGCGCTCATTGTGGCTTTGCTTGCCTCTTTTGGCCATGCACTCCAAGCTGAAAGCTGTCTGATCTTCACCAGCAACTTTGCCCTTGGTTTGTTTCTGTTCTTTGGTCAGGTCCGCTTTCAGTGTTCCCACCCAAGAGGCCAAGCAGCAACACCCTTTCCCAACCAGCAGCCAGCGTCGAGCGTCTGGCCACTTGTGAGCCTAAAGCTCAGTCCTTGAGCTAAAGGAAGATCGGACAGCAGCGTCACCTAACAGGAGCTAACCTGACAAGGTGAAAAGAAGGCTGGTCCTACCTCTCAGTACTGCTACTTTAGCATGTACATCTTTTTCAAAATCTAGCCGTAGCCAAACAGGTTACCATGTACAGCTTCTTCTCCAACACTCCCCCCTTGACAGCCGTCAAGTCATCCAACCTGTTCCCAGCCATCCTCGGAGTCATCGTAGAAGAAGCTGCGAGCCCTCTCCTTTGGAGTCGCTTGCCTGTGATCACGTCCTCCATATCCGGCAGTAGTTGACTCTGAAGTCTCACCACGGCGGAGTGCAACCGGATCAACTGGACGTTGGTCTCCAGGAGGAAGATCAGCTCGTTCAGCAGGGGGTCCACTGACATCGGTGGCAATCACGACATCTGCACTGGCCGCTGCTGCTGATGCTGCAGATTGATCTTCTCCAGGAACCTTGGTGGAGTCCCTCTCCTCGTTGGTCTTCTTCCTGAAGAGGGTCCATCCCTTCCACGCTTCACCAGGACGAATGCATGGAGGGCTTTGGATGGGGCCATGCCACTCATCATGGAACACATGCCGATCTCCGTCAGAATCGAACACTATTGTGGTCCGCGTAGTCGCCATCTCTTTCTGGCTCCAGGGGCAGTTCTTGTGCAGAGGATGAAACATCCTGTGCCTCTTGCCGCCGTGCTGCCTCACCATCCACCCCTGTTCAATCCAGTTGTGGTTCCACCGATCTGATCTTCCCGTCGGTGGATGGGTGAAGGCTGCATCTTTCCACAACTCCTGGATCTCCGTGTAGTTCATCATCGCCGCCTTGGGACGTACTTCACGAAGCGGAGGCAGTGGTGGGATGTACAAGAGCGTGTAGCCCACCCACTTGCTACGAAGTCGCCGTCCATGGAGTTGTCCTCGATCCCAAGCAAGAAGCTGGATCTGGTCGTCCTCCGTGTAGGCGATCGTCACTGCTCCTTTTCGCCATTGGTGATTCTGCTGGTATCCATCCATACCTTCATAGAGAGCTTGGCGACTGTATCCATGAGATAGCACAAGGATGCTCAAGCCGTTGGGTGCCACTCTCATCAGTCGCTCTGTCTGCCCTGCCACTGGGGGCGTTGCCACCGTCTCCAACAGCATCTCCGGGAGCACAAGGTGAAGTCCTTCGAACTGTCCTTGATCACGTGCACGACGTAGGAAGTCCATGGAGGATTCACCACTTCCGCTGATGTAGCCCTGTGGGAAGTGTACTTCTCGGCGGTCATCCCAAAAAGTGCAATCACCAGGAGCTCGAGGAACTCGATTGGGGTACTCCCCTTGCCATTCCACCAACCACTCGTCCAACTCTTCCATGAGGGGATCTTCGCTCGTCGTGGAAGCTTGAGCAGGTTCAGGGGAACGCTCTCTTTTCGCATGCCCTTCCCTTCTCTCATGACCTTCAGGCTGATCCACCTGCATTGGCGTGGCTGTTGGCTCCATTGATGTAGCAGCTTCCGACTCGGCAGTGGTGTTCATCGCTGTAGGGTCCACCATCGGGTCATTTTCTGCCTTCACTGCGGGCTCTGAAACCCTTTGGACCTCCTCTTCTGATGACCCTTGTTCCAACTGCTCCAGGATCTCGTCCATCCTCAACCTCGTAGACCATGGTCGCTTTGGAGCACCCACCGCCCTGCTCTTCTTTGGTGTCGCTCTTTATGCCGATTGAACTTGTGGTGACCACAGGACCTTCAGATGGTGCAGCTGTCTCCACTTCCATCCTCTCGTCCTGCTTCAAGTCCTCCTGCGTGAACGTCTGTGGAGACTCCGGAGCTGGCCATTTGTCTCCCCATGATTCCTCCTCGGTGTCCTCCCTCGTTGCCGCACCAATGACCTCAGCTGCTGGGACCAGTCTGATTCTACTGCTCTCCGGGCCAGCTGGGATCCTGAGGGGGTTGAAGTCACGAGTCGCTTGTAGACCTGGGCCATCATACCAACCTCCTGGTGGTCCACTCTTCTTCCTCTTGTTGACTGCCTTGGCCTGCTTCTTCGCTGCTGCCTTGGCTGCCTTGTTTGCTGCCTGCTCCTCGTGCTTCTCCTTCGCCTTGTCTAGCGTGTGCATGTCTCTGGGACCTGCTGAAGGATCGTTCGCACACCAGCCGCACAGGTCGTAGTCATGAGGACGACACCCAAATAGTTTCGTCCCCTTGCTGAACTCCGTACCGCACACGCTGCACGAGTAGCCGTCCACTTCCGAGATGTAGGGTGGCATCTGTTTCTTGCAGGTTTTGCACACCGCCATCAGCTTTGGTGGATGTACTGGAGCTTCGGGCTCTGTCGTCGATGCAGCGGGCTTCACCTTAGGCGTCGCCTTCATCAACATAGGGATTGCCGTTGTTGATGCCGTCGCCTCCTCTGCAGCTGGTCCCTGGTTGTCCTTCTTCTCCGGGTCCGGCTCCTTAGACTTCTCGACCACCTCCGTCTTCTCCTTCACCTCCACCTTTTCCCCGGACTTGGAGGGTTCTTTGGGATCCGCCTTCACCTCATCCTCGGGAGTCTCAGCCGCTTGTTGACCTACCGATTGTCCCTCTACAACCTCCTGGTCCACGTCGGTCTTCACTGCCGGCTCTTCCTCCTCGGGTGGCTGTCTCTCCTGGCGTCTCCTTCGTCTTCTTGAGTGCTTTTTCTTCTTGTCCTTCTTGTCCTTCGGTGGAGTGATTGGAGACGATGGTTCCCCTTCACCTTCCTTCTTGGTCTCTTTCTCCTGAGCCTCCTTCACCTCCAAGATGACGTCGTCAAGGATGTCGGACTTGTCCTCCACCACCACAACCTCCGAAGGCTGACTCGGCTCTGACTTTGCTTCACCTTGAACTCGCTCAGGATGTTCAGCGGGAGGCTCTTCTGCACCAGGATCAGCTTGTCGCCCTTCCACACAGTCCTGACAAATGTCCAAGTCACACTTTGACATGATGCAGCTGTAGAAGACGGCATTGTCTCCTGATCTCTTCCCGCAGATCTCACACGTGCTTTCTGGAGTCCTTGTGACATGTCTCTCCAACGGCCGTCGGCACCTCCAGCAAGTGTTTCCCGACCACTTCCTTGAACTTGTCACTGCAGGTTCTCCAGGGCGATCTTGTAGGGGTTGAACAGGTTGAAGCTCAGGTCGCCCTTCTGCTGAAACCATCATTGGCTCCTTGCTGGGGTCTGGCTGTGCTTCTTGTCCCACATCTTGACGCTCTTCTGGATGATCTTGAGGTTCACAGCTCTTCACCTCTTCCTGACCACCTCCTTGGCACCCTTCCGCTTGTCCTTCATCTGCAGACTCCGTGCACCCTGGGACTGTCAGCGCTTCCTTGCTCTCATCCTTTGCCTTTGGAGGCCCTTCATCAACTGCAGGTGGACCGCCTTGGGGATCTTCTGACTGAGCACCAAGATGTCCTTCGGGTTGAACTAGTTCTGATCGAACTTCCCTTGGAGTTTCTGACTCCCCAGGACGTCCTTCATGTTGATCTCCTTGATGTGGAACCACCTTTGGGACTTCTTGCATTCCCTCCGGGCGTTCTTCACATGGATCTTGTTGGTCTTGTTGAGGAAGTTGAGACTCCATCCAAGGATTGCGAGGCTGAGCATGCCCGACCACAAAACGATCAGCATCAGGAGCATCCTCAGGATCTGCAGGCTTCGGCACCTTGTCCTCCGCCGTCTCCACTTGCCGCTCACCACTGAGATCACCTCCAACTTGTGGTTGCTTCTCTCCTTGATGTTCCATGGCAAGATCCTGCGCTCCCTCAGGTTCAGGCACCTCTGTCAACCTATCTTGAGCCCTTGTAGCTACCCTCAACTTCTCCATGGTTTCCAATTCAACACCACCCAAACCTTCTCCCTCAGCCCGGATCGCGCCTTCAGAGTCTTCAGCACTTCGTTCAGAAGGAGCTTGCTGTTGAGGTTCCGGGGGTTCTTGATGTCCAGAAAGCTGACTGGGGCCCGCACTCCCACTACCTTGAGGACCTTGAGGAACTTGATGACCATCTCCATGTAGATCAACGGCAGGGCTCTCCCCCCTCTCTACACATGAAGCACCATCTTCTCCTTCGGGACCTCGAAGTGCTGCTATGCGAACTCCTTGTCCAGGTAGAGCTGGTTGTTGTTGATGTTGAAGGCCTCCTCCATGAACACCTCCCAGAACTTTCTTTGCTTCATAGGCCATATACGCTGCAAAGGCAGTCATTCCTGCGATCTTCGCTTGTCGACCCCCTTCGCCAGTGGGCTTGTAGGTGCTCAGAACTGCCATGCCGACCGCCGCAATTGCCACCTTCGCAATCGATCGCTTCTGCTCAGCAGCTTCCAAGTCCTCCATCTCCACCATCTTGACCTTGTTCTTGAAAGTCGTCCAAGAGCTCTTCAACGTGATGGCCTTCGTCAACATGTCCGCCGACAACTCGGTCCCAGGCACGTGCTGCAGTCTCCATAGACCTTCACGAACTCGTTCTCGAAGAAATTGAGATCTCAACCTCAAATGCCTCGTTCTCCAGCTGCCCTCAGGGTTGGTGAGAATTTGAAGGCCACCAATATTGTCACCTCTCAAGTGCCTAGTGACTCCTTCGTCCTCCACACCCGTCATGGCAACAACAACCGTCATGATCCCCTCCCCCATCACGGTGCTATCCACGTAGCCCAGCAGTTCCGACTCCGACGTACTCAGCGTCGCGAAGGGCTGCCTCTTGGACTCCCAGTCCACCATGCCACAGGGCTAAGAGACCTTGATGTGACCGTTCACCTCGTGGAGCAAAGCTGGCGTCACTCTCCACCTCCAACTCCACAACGTTGTCGTCCTTGGGGCCATACTCCAAACACCAGGTTGCAGTGCTCTTCAAGTATCCTAGAAGATGGCGGCCAACTCGAACGACATGCTTCGGGTTCTTGATCGTCCTGGCCCCCATGTACGCCGTCGCATAGGAGATGTCTGCACGAGCGCGCGCCGACAGCCACAGCACTTCTCCTACCAGCGTTTGAGCCAGGCGGACGTCCTGCCAGGAAGCATCATGTTCAGGCTCAAGCTCACCATCCAACCGAGGGAGCGGCACATCCTTCTCCAAGATGCCATCGTACCTCGTCAACAGCTCTTTGGTATAGGAAGCCTGACTTACCATCAGCGATTCACCACGCCACTTCAACTCTAGGCCACAGAACTTCACCCAGCTGTCCTCGGATACCCACTCTGGAGTGCTCACCGTCCACAGCGCCTCAACCTGTGTTAACACCTCCTTCCCTGTCGCACTGTCCGCCATGATCAAGAGGTCGTCCACATGGGTCAACAGGTCGCCAATGGTCTCGGTCTCGGTGAAGCTGTTGGGGAGCTTCTGACCAATCCTCCAAACGTTGGCTTCCGTGGTCCTCTCCAACCATCGTTCACCACCTTCAGGACTTGTCCACTTCACCTCCGCCAAGCGATCATCTCTATGCATGCCCCAATCTGCTGGAGAGCTTGCCAACCCATAGAGCGCATGGTCCACGATCCAGACTTCATCCTCTGTCGCCAGGCCTGCTTGGATGACAACCTTTGGGGGACGTGTAGTGATCGTTCTCGAACTCTTCCTACGCGGAGCCCAGAGGAAAGCGGTTCGCACATCACACGTAGCCACTGACCAGGATCTCAGCGCTGCTTGTCGAAGGGCTATTCTCAGCGTCAGGGAATCTGCTCCGCCTGCATAATTCTCCGGGTTCTTGCCGTTCTGGTCTGCCTGGAGAAGGTTGCCACAGATGCAGATTCTTGCTTTTCGGCGGCCCAAAGGTGCTTTGACCGTCGGAACGAGTTTACTCGGCGCATAGTCCACCGTGTCCATATCGACTTCCTTCGCCAACTGGGCATCCGTTGTCCTCCTGAGCGCCTTGGTCTCTTCAAACAGCTGGTGCAGCTCCTGCTTGAACGAAGGCTTCCAAAGATCCAGCTCCTTCTTGACCGTCGCCAGGGGCACCGTGTAGGTCTGCAACACCACAGGCACTTCGTCTTCCTGGCCCACGTCACCGCTGCCTTGGTCCTTCATTGAAGCCAACCTCAAAGCTGTTCGAACCTCATGACCTTCCAGCCAGTCAACTTGTTCACAAAGATCTTGTTCCGTTTGAAGGAGTTGCAACTGCAGGAACTTCATCCAACATCCCTGGAGCTTGCCTTCATCCTCTCCCAGCGGCATGTGCTTCAACCCATTGGTCATCTCCATCCTCCATCTCCAGTGAACCTGACGTAGCTCATCGTGCTCACGAGCCAAATCCTCCACTGAGACTGGTTCTTCTTCCCATAGAACTCCATCCTCTTCTGAGCTGGCCTCCACCTTCAAGGGCTCCTCGCACATCTTGCACACCTTGTAGGCCTTCATCTGATGCACGCCACACCCTTGACAAACGCAAAGGTCCTCCCCAGTCACTTCATGTAGCTCAGGAACTCCATGGGGTTGATCGACTTGATCTTGACTTTGAGAAAGTTCGCATTGTTGGCCTTTGAGAGCTCCATGGGACCCCCCCCCCAGCTTTCGCATGTAGTACATGGAGAGAGGGTCCTTCCTCTAATGGAGGTCTCACTGGGTACCCTTCTGGAAGTACCACATCAGGAACTTGCACTGGCTGCTTTCCCCGCAATCTCCTCCGTGGGTTCTCCGGGTCTGTCTCCGCCCATTGCTTGATTGCCACATCTGCTTGGTGATCTGGTAGAAGAGCAACTCGAGCATGCACGACCTGATCTCCATCTCGAACCAACCACCCGGATGTCATCATTGGTGAGGGACACAGCAGCTGCATTGTCCTGAAGGGTGTAGCCAAGGGACTATCGCGATGCCATCGCTTTCGCTTGACCACCACGGAGGCTCCGATCGGCGGCATGGGGCGTTGAGGAATGCCCATCTTCTCCAGCTGAGAACGCAGACGTTTTTCCACTTCGTATCTCGCCACCTGGGGCCACATAGTTTCTCCCCATCCCGTGGTCGAAAGTGACAGTCGCAACCGTCTCTTAAACTGGTTCACCTCCGCCTCGATCCTTCCATTGCCAGGCCCATCATCTCCTCCGGTCATTGTTTGCAAGACCCCCTGGCCGGCTATCCAGTTGCGCACCCGTCCACTGACCATTGCTTTTTCACGGTCACTGTGTATGCGAATCACTGGAACGCCCATAGCCTTGTACTTGCTCAGAAGCTTTGCCATGCCGCTCAGGATCTCGTCCACCGACCTTGACTGCAATGGTTCCCCAAGGGTGAGGTTCTGGACCATGTAGGGCTCTGACAACTCCTCCGCGATCTTCTTCCACTCGGCGTTGACCTTCTTGGCATCTTCCTCAGAGACCTTCTCGCTGGGTTCATCCTCTTCCACCTCCAGAACAGGACCCTCTTCAGCTTCATCTCTGTCGCCAACAAGATCTTCAAGCTCCCCCGAACCGTCACCCTCCCCCCATTCCTGAGCTTCCTCCACAGGCTTCTCTTCGGAGTCAGTGACCTTCTTGTCCATCTCGTAGGGGACAGGAACTGTAGCCAACATCATGTACTTCGCCGTCTGGTCCACCCCCAAGTCCTTTCCGCTCTTGAACGGTCCCACCAGGTCCACCGCCATGACGAATGCTGAAAGTCCTCTGGGGCGCCTTCTATGTGGAGCATCACAACCCATGTTCTCAACGCAAACTCCACAGTCGCGCCGATAAGGAACATGTCCGCATTCCACATGTTGTCTCCATTTCTCAACGTTCATTTTCTTCAAGGAGCCACAACCAGATTCTTCACTTCCATCCGACGAGCCTCCTTCTCGAGGTTGTGCATCTCGTTCCTGCACCATGGTTGCCAAGTAGGGGTTGAGCGTGTGCTTCAACATCTCCACCAGCCCATCCGCCCATCTTGCCCATGTCTTCGATTCTTGGATCGACTCCTCTGGGGTTATTGGAAGCTTCTTCCCTCCAGGTCCTCCTCGAAGTTCATTCAGAGCTTCATGTAGTTCAGGAACGTTGTGCAAGAGTGTTGTTGGCTTCTTCTTGCAATGGCCAAGTCTTCCTTGATCCAGCGAAGTCCAAAACCACCCATAGTCCTGAGCCACTCCTTGAAGTTCAGGCCAATTCCAAAAACTCGGAAGTTCGTCAGCTTCACCTTCAGGCATGTAGGTCATAGGGTCTTCCGGACTCTCCATCAAAAACCCAGTCGGCCTCCCATCCTGTAGCCCAGCTTCTTCTCGAGCTTCTTGAGCCATCTTCCATAACGCATACTGCTTCAGCACCAAGATGCTGTCTTCGTCCGCTCGCAGTTGGTCCTGTGCAGAAAGGTCTGGCAATCCCCATCGAAGTTCACCTCGGCCTCGCAACGGACGGGAACCAGGGGCTCGATGACGCAACCTTGAAGTCGTCCTGCATGGAGGCCCACCAATCACTCCCAGGATTTTCCCTGACCTCGCCAAAGAAGGTCAAGTAGCTCCACAAGGCAGGTGAATGCAAGTTCCATCCAGGGCCCTTCTCCAGGTCAATCGCCAAAACCTCCACGTTCTTGGGGACCAACTCATGCCAGCGCCGATCGTCTCGTCCAGCATAAAGGTGCACCAAGACTCCCTTTGATCTCCACAAGCGCCGCCTCCATCTCCGGTTTAACGGAAGGCCACCTTCAATCTTTTGCCAAGACTGAGACTGCCCCTTCACGTAGTCGAAGACCTGGTTGGTGCTTGAGGAAATAGGTTCTCCCACCATCGTCGATCATCATCGCTAAGCTCATAGCTGACCTGCGGGTTCTTCTCCATGTAGTCCAACAAGTCCAAGGCTGCCTTGCGATCCATCACCGGACATCCGCTCCTCAATTCGCAGGGGATCTGGTTGCCCTTCGGGTGCTTGATCACGCATGACTTCCGGCTCCATGTGATGTCAACCTCGCTCAGCTAGGGCATGTAGAGGGATGATTGGTTCAACACTCTCCATCGATAGCAACGTTTGGTGAGAAGGATGACGATATAGTGTAGTCGACCCTGTCGCCAGCTCTACCACCACCGGGTATAAAGACCCAATCTCATCCTGTCGGGCCTGGCGCAACGCATGAGTCGCTCCACCGTCCAGTAGTGCAAACTTGCCACGGTCCATGTCCCCCAACTTGGATTCCCAGTCCAATGATCTGACACGAACGGTCTTCAAGTTGCCAAGCGACTTGAGAAGTCCTGAAGCCTCTGACAGCAAGCCACTCTCGTCCTTGGATGATGCTGCTGCCTCGGAAGTCTTCTGGGGTTCCTTCACAGTCTCGGTCTGGTTCTTTTGCACAGGAGGCTCCTTCTCCTTCTTCGCAGATGTAGCTGCCACCTTAGTCGAAGTCGAGGTTGTAGTGTCCCCTCCACTCTTCGGCTTGGTCTTGGCACTCTTCTTGGCATCGTCACCGCGAGAGTTAGCAGGGCAGCCCTTCTTCATGTGACCTTCCCCAGAGCATCCAAAGCATCGCCCAGCCTTGTCGATGCCATCCCACGAGTGACTGAAGTTGCATCGATCTCCTCGGTTACATCCTTGGCTAGTTCCCCAAAACCTGCACTTGGCCCTGTCCCTATCTCCAGAGCCAGACTTGCCAGAGTTTTGAGTCATCGCCTTCACCGCCGGAGTTGTCGATGTTGTAGGTCCTGAATCCTGAGTTGATGTCGTAGTCTTCGAAGCTGTTGAAGTAGTCCCCAAAGTTAGGCTGAGTTCTTCTGCGTCTGCTTGGAGGTACTCCGCAAACTCCTTCACGCTGGGAAGTTGTGGTCGTTGGTCAAGTCCAAGATCCTGTCTTGCCGAAGCAGTCCTGAACACCACCTGACTTCCACCCACCTTCCCAAGTGCATCCGCAAACTTCGCCATGACACCCACCAAGATGCTAAGAGCATGGACACTCCACGGGCATCGACCCTCTGGTACTTCAGCATCTCGGCGGAGCTCAGGGTTGGCTTCAACCGCAACCTTTGAAGAGGTGCTGCAACAAGCCATTGGTCATATGACTCCGTAGCCGCCTTCAGGGTTGTAGTCCACCATCCTGTCGCTAAGTCCTTCATGGTCGGTTCCACCACCGTCAACCAATCTCCAAAGGCGACCGAAGCTCCCTCTGCCCCTGGCTTTGGGAGTGCTGGCAGAGTCAACTGACGTAGCGACTCACCCCCCAGCTCCCCACCACCACGCGGCTCCAAAGGAATCCCCGGAGGAGGACTCACAGAGCCTCCACCGCCTCCGACACCAAGAAGAGGTAGTTGTTGACCTTGAAGTCCACCCGCTGATGTACTTTGAAGGCCACTGGCACTGGTCGCAGTGTGATAGCTCTGAACTTCACCTTCAGCACTTCCACCACCAGCACCAGCAAGTCGTTGAACTTCTCGCTGAAACGCATCTTCAGCTTCTTGTAGAAGACGCCTTCGAAGAGATTCCACCGCGTCGACCTCCCTAGGCCTTCGCTCAGCAGTCCCTCCTGGAGTCCCCTGTGTAGTCGAACCTGCAAGCCTCCTAGCTTCCGGGCTCCAAAACATATTGATTTGGGGTTGACCTCCATCACCCTGCCCTCCAACAACACCTCCAAAAAGACCCTGCCCAAGAGCCAGCACAGAGGAAGTTGCCAATGGTCCCAACAACGACGGAGTCCCTTGCTGAGCCATGCTGCTCCCCCCACTAGCTGCACCAGGTTCTCTTCCAGGAGTTGATGCCGAAGCGGTAATCGATGGTCCAAAGGTTTGAGGTTGCCCTGCAGGATGTCGATCACCAATCTGTCCAGGTTGAACTCCTCCATGTTCTCAAGGTCCTTGAAGTTCTCTTCCATGAGCTCCACCTCGTAGATCACCTTGAGTCATTCCTTCCTGTTCAGCCACTGGCACCAACCTCCTCACAGCAGCATCCATCGTCGGTGGCACTGACCTTGCCCTCGAGCTCTGAGTCCTCTGCTCTTCCTCGATCATCCGGTCCAGCGCCATGTCCGCATTCTCTCCATCGCGAATCAGCCCTTCACGATGTCGACGAAGCATTCCACCATCCATTGCCTCTTGTAGTTCTTGAAGTCCACAAAGTCGTTCCCGTTGGTGATCACCGAAATCTTGTACGTGAACTTGGGCTCGTAACCTGTTCTTTGGTCAGGTCCGCTTTCAGTGTTCCCACCCAAGAGGCCAAGCAGCAACACCCTTTCCCAACCAGCAGCCAGCGTCGAGCGTCTGGCCACTTGTGAGTCCTTGAGCCAAAGGAAGATCGGACAGCAGCGTCACCTAACAGGAGCTAACCTGACAAGGTGAAAAGAAGGCTGGTCCTACCTCTCAGTACTGCTACTTTAGCATGTACATCTTTTTCAAAATCTAGCCGTAGCCAAACAGGTTACCATGTACAGCTTCTTCTCCAACAGTTTCAAAGGTGCAGAAGACCTATACTTATACCCCAATCAAGCTGAGTTAAGGCCCGCGGCAAAGAAGACAACAATGCTTGATACTTTGCTCTTGGCAATTGGGTGCTTGTTGCATGTTTGCTAACAATTCGCAAGGTATTCAAAAAAAATAAGACACAGCCCTGCAATCTTCTCCCTACCAAGTTCGCCAACTCTCCCTTGCCTTGGAAAGCGTTGCCAATCTGCTTGAATGTGTCCTGCAAAAGGCACTGAAAACGAGCAAAGGGGAGTAGACTGCTCTACCAAACTCGACTGCCTGATGTTCAAAACATCTCCAAGGCAAATGTTGGGCACAAGTAAAATCCAGAAAGTTGTCAGAAGCGCAGCTAAAGACCACATGAGGTAGCTACATTCAAAGCAAGGCACAAATACACCAGTATGTGGCTGTAGCTTTCCAAGGTAGTGTCAGCTGGCGAGCTGGTACCTGAGCTCTGCACCTTGCCAACATGGATGAATCTTTGAGGATGAAAAATGCTATGGAGAGGATGCCTTGGAAATCCTTCAACTCCAACCGTCGATTCCTTGCACATACCGCTGACCTAGACACAAAGTGGAAGCAATCGAAGGTAACAAGACATGCCGTGAAGCACCGTCTTGAGAAAGGATCGGCATAGGC